TGTGGCACAGGTGTATATGAACATAATTTATCCAACTTAAGTCCCACGAACGAAAGATATCTCCTGTGGACGTACTGTAAAAATTTGCAGGGGTGTAGGTGGGTTTGGGGATGTAAAGGCGTCAACAATATTAAACACGGTATTGAGGGGAGGGCTAGAGGGATCAGGGAAATTGTGGGGTAAAATGAACTTATAAATGAAGATTTGTCTTGATTTTTGTTATAAGTCTAAAATAATGTGACGTTGTGTTACGTGGCGTCATGCGGCACAGTCTGGTGCGGCCAGACCGGCCTTAAGGGCACCGCGGAGGGCCCTAGTTTTTGAGCCACTAACTTCCCAGACAGAGAAGTAGTAGACTCCTAAGCCATAGGACAGCTCAGCTCAGCCGTCCAAGGCTCGTACATGACAACCCACTTGGGTTGCCATCGTCCCCCAACAGGGAGGCTGTTGTTCTATGGAGCAACATGACCTCAAGTTGTCATGCCAAGGGGTCCGGAGTAGCTCTCTGTAACTTTTGTTTGTGGTCTGATCTTGTAGCCTTGTTTATCAAACCAAGCAAGAAAACGGTGTTCAACATCAGTATTTCAGTAACAGGAGCCACCCAACTACTAATGAACCGTGATCCATCCATGTTTTACTTTATTCATCGCTTTATTTCTCCTGTATTTTGCTGTTTTTTGTGAGCAGACCAAGCTTTCTGCGTAAATTATGATGATACACCCACACTTACCTATGCCCACCGGTTGATTTCAGGTGAGGAATTCGAGGTCATAAGCGATTCGCCTTATTTGGCTAGTAGTGTTGTCTTCATACTCCGTATCTTCAAGTGATCTTCAGCATTAAATAAAAACCTTTCTTCAGCTCAGGCAGGACAATCTCTGTATGTTTAATCTTCAATTTGTATAACCCTTCCCCTATCATACCAATTAAAAATTGATATTTTAAATCTTGAACACATCATCTAACTCCTTGAACACACCAACTTCAAAAGCGGAGGTTCTATCATTATTGTACGACCTGTCACGTCTATGCCCTGAACATCTAACCCGGAAAGCGCTGTTTATAGATCTGATATATAGTAGACCTTCATATGATAATCCATATGAGCAAAAGTTACGATCATCCCTCCTAACCTCTGCTTGGTTTTCATTCACATGGTAATGTCTTCGACGGCGAAAAGTCCACTTCTGCAAAGGTTTTGACCAGTTCTGCAAGCGATCAGCTGATCGCAAAAACACATTTTTACGTATAACTCAAGAATTAAGCGGAGTTGGGCGAAGGCCTTAAGCAGGAATATAATAGAGACCTTAAGAAATAAACTCTTAAAGCAGGAGCACCTAAAAATGTCAAAAGTTTCATTTTTCTAAAATTGAAAAAGCGGATATTTATCCCCTATCACACCCCCGTTTTCGGGTCCCCGTTCTGAAAAGGGCCGTATCTCGCTAACGAAGCCTCGCTCATTCACAGATTTGGCCATTTCCCGAGTGAGGAAACGCGATGGGCTCTTATGGGGGTTTTACTTCTGGTCTTTCCAGCTCTAGTTCTTGACGCTGAGGCTCCTCCCAACTACAGAAATATCACGGATTTACTGGGAAAGAACCATTTTACTCTTGTATCTGTTCATTTTGCGACAAATGTTCCTTGACCGGCTGGTATGAGCGGCTGAATTTCTACAAAATTTCCACTCTCATACCTCATGTACTCTAGTCTTCAAAAATAGAGTTTAAAAAAATCCATTCACAAACAGCAAAAATTAACAGACTCAGAAAAATGAAATATCGCTGTGAGACATTTAATATCTTTTTTCAAACATGATCAGAGAAAGTCTAGGGTAAGATCATTGTCTTTTGTCCACCATCTTACACAAATATGAACCTTTAAAAATAAAGTACTTGGACCACAAGAGTGTACTTAATCTTAATGAGTCTTAACATACAGGTAATAGCAAAACATATGTCCCACAAAGTAAACAAAAACTGCAGCCATATACACTAGGTTAGTTCATGTATGCATAAATACACAGTTTAAATCTTTGTCAGCAAGGACACATGGAATGAAAAATTGTCCAACATAATGGATATCAGAATGGTTGATCTGTCTCAGGTGTTACACCTCTTGCTTAATTGAGAAGTTAATTTCTCCATGATATCATAATAACTGTTATAGCCAGAGCCTCATCCAAAAATACACATTACTACATTTTCCAACTTTTGAATACTTCATATATTATCAATGATTATTTTTATGGTGTTTTTTACAGTTTGTATCAACATGATTTTTGAAAAGTGACCACAAACTTGTTAGTATTGAATATCAAGATCTTAGGATGGTTTCATATTTGATATTTTCTGTTCTTTCTTCTTTGTTTAGGCTCCCCTGATTGGCCACCTCTATCTCTCGTCCCCTCCCATTGGCTACTCTTGAGCCTCCTTGCCAGCGATCTTGTAGATGACAGACAGCTCTCCAGCATCGCCGCTGGCCTGGCTGTTTGTCAGGCGTAACTCAATCTCCTCGTTACTCCCGTCCTCCAAAGTCTCACGCTCTGGAAGTTAACATAAAATCAGAGTCAATTTCTCAATGATGTAAACATGAGACAATCAGAGATGGCAGACTTCACCCCCTCCCCATACAGCCCTTAACTCACACAAAAAATGCTGGTGCTTTATACCTTACTCCTCACACACACACCCACCCAAACTCAGACACACACAAATGGACACACAGACACACACACACACACACACACACACACACGCACGCACTGTCCTTGGTGCTGAATGCTATCCACATAAACACACACAGACACACACCAATAAACAGTACCCAGTTGTATGTTGGAGGACTGCTGCCCCTCCAGACCTTTCCTCTTGTGGCTCGGTGCGTACAGACAGATCAAACACAGACAGACAGACAGACAGATCAAACACAGACAGACAGACACACATACCCAGCTGTATGTTGGAGGACTGCTGCCCCTCCAGACCTTTCCTCTTGTGGCTCGGTGCGTACAGACAGACACTGAACACGTAGACGTTCCACATCCCGTACACGCCTGTCAGGAACGCGCTGTTGATCTCCACCGTGTGCTCCTCCCCCCACTTCCAGTGGCCCTCGTTAACCTGCACACAAACAAGCAGAAACAAAGTTAACGTTATACTCCAGCAAGCAATTTTAGTTTTACTTTGGTTCAGAACAAAACAAGGCTCTTTATAACCACTGAAATGTTTTGTGTTACGGAATTTTGGATATAACGAGAGATTCCTGATTGTTCAACTTTGACTTAAAAAGCTGAGTTGTACCATCGATATATCAGGCCTAGGGAAGCAAGCATGAGAAAGCTTGTTCAATAAAGATATTTAGGTAACTCTAAGTGAAATATTATTTTCAGAGGTATGCAGCTATAAGATATTGCAAGCGGGAAACACAGTGACACATTAGGCCACACCAATTTAATTTGTTGGTTCTCAGATTTTTTCAGAAAAAATATGAAGCGACAGGGCGAAAAAAATAAAAATAAAAACAGGTCTAGGCATCCTATTATAGCCCCAAATGCTACAATATGAGCCATGAAGTCAACAAAAAAGGCTGGGTTAAAATTTAAAGTATAAATTTTGAACTTTTAATCAAACCACTGCATTGATAGATGGAAAAAACTGTAACAACTAGGAAGAAAAGGAATTTCCTCAACTGTTGGGGGCAAAATATGAGCATTTTTGAGTTGATTCAGAACCAGAATCTTTTTTTTTTTTGGCAAATCAGAAAAAAATGAAGAGGCGAATCCGAGAACCAACAAATTAAATTGGTGTGGCCTTAAATCTCATATTTCTTTGGGACTGAGGGTTGAAAGAAATAACATAGTTTTACACTAGTTGGAGTTTTGCAGGCTGCAAATCTTCAACTGTAAACTGCATGCTAATATGAATTACATGTTAGCTGAAAGGAACATAGAAAAGTACTTATATTGCGCCCTGATAGCAGTTTAGAGTGTATCACGAACAACTCATTATGTTCACATGGCTGGCAGAGTTAACTACCACAGGTATCACCTGTGGGCATGTAACATAATTATAGGCAGCGCTGGCCGAACTCAACGTCCTTGAGTTGAGGTAGTCCAACCACCTCACTCAGTTGAAGGACACACTAAAAGACACAGTTAACATGGACTCCGAGACTTTAAGAACTTTGTAGACTTAAGACAACTTTCTTCCATACTAAGGTGAGTCAATCAACCTCATCTCTGTGTCCCTACTTCATCAGGATTATTTTGGGCTACGGTAAGAAGTAAAATCGTTGGAAAGATTGTCGGATCAAATATGTTTAGTTCATGAATCATGTGTCATAACAAAATGGCGGCAAGAAAATGTCAAACAGGAAAAATGTCAGAAGACACCAGAGGTTGACACACAGTCACATTCTGACCATTTCTTTGACATTTTAAGGAACTTTCTGGAATTCCTAATCTTAAGACGAGAATTTTACAAGCATGAAGGTAGGAGATTTCATGGTTTCAAATATACCTGTGTCAACATGACAAGGAGACAATTACCACTGACATTACATACACTATCAGCTACAGGATCTAGGAGAATATTATGCGGTACTGAAACCCTACTGAAATGTTTCTAAATTTTCCCCAAATATTTCAGCCTGCTTATGCTTAGGTCACATTTCCAAACCGGGGCCCGGCTGGGGTGTTTGTATGAACGAAAAATTAATAATTCATATCAAGAATATACAGAAATAGTGCCCATGATTATCATTCTAAACTTTTCTGCGTTTTGTTGTCTTTTATATCATATTTCTCGTTCCTAAAAGCTGCCCGGCCGGGCCCCGTGTACGAATTGTGACCTCAGCATTACTAGGTGTTTTCATATATCTTATATTAAATACCAATGGTGTACTTTATGATTTGGTGAACTACATAGACTGACAACCTTACAAAACTTTTTTTTATTTTTGCAGATCTAGACACAATTTCCTTGTCTTGGCCCACTGAAGAACCTGGGCCCTGCAGCTGAACTTCCTTCAAGGATTGGAGTTCTTTCTTCAATCATTGATTTCTTAGGTTAGTTTAAATCCCACTTCATGACCGTATTAGGCCTCACCAAGTCTATTTCTTGTTTGTAGACTGTTTTTCTTCCAGTTAAGCATTATCTTTTTACCTGATGAAAACAAAGGAATAGTTTTTGGCTTGTGTCATCTGTCGTTTGTGTTTTTAGGTACTTGTGGCAGCAGCTAATTCTATATGCCCACCTTACACTATTATAATAGTATATTAATTTTGCAATGTTGGGACTGGCAATATTTCAAGACTTATTATTCAGAGCTCTGCCATTTTTTTGTAAATCAACATTCTCATGTATCTCATCTCTGTTGTAGATCAGACACACCAGTAAAGGTATGAATAAATAAATCAGTCTACTACTTAAATCTCTGTTGTACAGACGACACTTCAGAATGTCCAACAAAGTGAGGAGGATGCTGGTTCTTCTGCTGATCATCCTGAAGGAAGCTGGCCCGACCGCAGCCTGCAGCAGCAGCTGTTCATCAGTCTGTGGCTGCAGAGGCAGAGGCCTCACCAGTGTTCCTCAGGACCTGCCTACAGACATCACTCAGCTTGACTTGGGGCTCAACGACCTTACAACATTAAATCAGTCTGATTTCTCAAGGTATAGGAGCTTGACAACATTAGATCTTGGTTTCAATCAGATCTCCATGATCCATAACAAAACATTCCACAACTTAACAGACCTAACTAGACTGGACCTTAATAATAATCAATTGACCAATCTAACAGCCGGCATGTTTGTGGGACTTGGTCACCTCCGGTACTTATGGATTCAAAATAACCAGTTAACCTGGCTCCCAGCTCACACATTTGTGGGACTTGGTAATCTGTGGCGCTTGTCTCTTTCCTCCAACCAGTTAACCCATCTTTCAGCTAGCACATTTGTGGGACTTGGTTCACTGGAGGTCTTGTATCTTTCCAGGAACAAGTTAACTAGTCTGACAGCTGACACATTTGTGGGACTTGGTAATCTGCAGGAATTGAATCTTCCATTTAACCAGTTAACTACTTTGCCAGTTGACATATTTGTGGGACTTGGAAACTTAGAGTGGCTTCGCCTTAGCAGAAATAACATCCACAGTATTGAGGCAGGCACCTTCAATCACACAACAAAGCTACGTATACTACAGCTTCATCACAACAACATCAGCACCATCACAGCCGACACATTAGGGAATCTACGTCAGCTTCAAACACTGAAACTTTCTCATAATAACATCAACACTTTCCCTGTAGAGGCCTTATTAAGCTTAAATATTTCAGCACTGTCAGAGCTTACATTAGATTATAATCAATTTAAGACACTAACAGTCATGGCATATGACATACTGACCTCCATATCAAAAGTTAACATTAACAACAATCCCTGGCAGTGTGACTGTAGGATGGTTGACTTTAGACAGAGGATGAACGGGTCTTACCAATTTGAAAACAAAACCAGATGTGCCGGACCTGCTAGCCTTACAGGGCAACTCTTACTGTATGTAAATCCTGAAGACTTGATCTGTGAGACGACACCAGTCTACTCCACTTCTAGCACTAAACACATGGTTGACTCTACTGACCCTCCACTTGCTTCGACTGTGACATTAACACTAACTGAGAGCAATACTGACCCTGCTGACGGTGGCACTGTCCTGACTGTGCCCTTGCTTGCTACTTTGGGAGCTATTCTTGGACTATCCATTATTTGCATTATCGGCTTTGCAGTAGGGTGCATGTATAAGAGGAGGCAAAGGGATCCTACTCCTCAGCAAGGCTTTAGTAACACAAATTCCACATCCAGTGATCATGACCAGATAAGGCAGCAAACATTTACAACAAATGCAGAGGTAAACACTCAATCTGGTACACCACATTCAGATACAGAAGACAGCCAGCATATCTATAACCTCCCAACAGATGAGGACCCTGATACAGCAGAATATGACACCATAGGTGAAGTCAATCAGTCAGAGAGTAAGTATCGTGTTGTTAGTCCGTCACAAACATCACAGCCAGGCTCAGGGCAAATTCAGCATCTCGGCAGCTTTAACGATGGTTACGAGGTTCCATCTCCCTTCCTGTACCCTGGAGAAGGTCCACAGTCCCACAAATATGTGAACAGCCATGTGACAGCAGATGCCATAAATGCTGCATTTGGTTCACATCATATGGTATATGAGAATGACAATGAGATAGAATCTGCTAAAGAAGACCTACAGTCCCACAAATATGTGAACAGCCACATGGCAGCAGCTGCCAAAGATGCTGCAGCTGGTCCAAAAGTCATGGTACATGTATATGAGAATGACCTGGAGAATGAGGATGAGATAGAATCTACAAACAAACATCTAAAGTCCCACAAATATGTGAACAGCCATGTGGCAGCAGCTGCTATAAAAGATGCTGCAGCTGGTCCGCAGCTTATGGTTTATGAGAATGATGATGAGGTAGAATCTGCAAAGGAAGATCCACAGTCCCACAAATATGTGAACAGCCAGGTGACAGCAGATGCCATAAATGCTGCATTTGGTTCACATCATATGGTATATGAGAATGACAATGAGATAGAATCTGCTAATAAAATTAAAGAAGACCTACAGTCCCACAAATATGTGAACAGCCATGTGGCAGCAGCTGCTAAAGATGCTGCAGCTGGTCCACAGGATGTGATGTATAGCTATGAGAATGATTAGAGGGGTAAGGCATAGAATGATCAATCTACAAATGAAGCTCCGTAGGTCATAGTGTATGAGAATGATGAAGAGTTAGTTGATAACCAATCACAGACAGCAGCTGCCCCTGGTGCTGACAGCCCTCACCACTATGAACCCCTGAGGAACCCCAGCAGTCAGCAGCAGCACACATACACATCCCTGATGCCTCATGGTTCACACCATCAGTAAAAGTAGCATGGCAAGCCCTTTGTAATATCCACAGGCTAGTTGGGCTGACCAGGCTGTGGCTGTTGAACAGCCAAACCAATAATAAAAAATAATGATAATAATAAATTCTAGTTACAATTTGATGGTGAAATAATAAATTGTATATACATGTACTAGTACAGATGCAGAATACAGTGGATGATGATGATGATTCTACAAATGAAATATATAAAAGTAGCTCATGAATTAGCAAGTCAAATTGCATATTTACATATTGTTACATACAAACATATCATACAACATAGGTTACATATATATGATATTATATACAACTGTATAAAAACTTAGTATTTTGGTGAGTTGTAGGGACCAGTAGAGAGAGAGAAGACACTAGAAGAGGGTAGAACTGACAGTAGGCAGGGACTGTACCTTAGATTTACGCAGGAAATAAAACAGAGTGTTCAACTCCAGTCTTTGTCTGTGGTGTTAATGCCTTCAAATATCTTGAGTTATCAACCATGTCAACCAAGAGGTGTGCATAAAGCGCCACCCAGTGATGTTGTAAGGTACTGCATCCACTGACCTGCCTCCCACAATCACAATCGCACTGCGCCTGACAAGGCCTAAATTTAGCACCGCCCAGTGACAAGTTAAAGTACTGCATCCACATATGATTCAATTTATTGATCATTCAATTTTCTTATTTCTTGAGGTTTTCACACACAAAATCTATACTCCAGTGTAGAAAGGTACTTATATTGAGCCCTGATAGCAGTTTAGAGTGTATCACGAACAACTCATTATGTTCACATGGCTGGCAGAGTTAACTACCACAGGTATCACCTGTGGGCATGTAACATCAATTATGGGCAGTTTTTTATAGGCAGCGCTGGCTGAACCCAATGTCCTTGAGTTGAGGTAGTCCAACCACCTCACTCAGTTGAAGGGCACACGAAAAGACAGTTAACACGGACTCTGTGAAACTTTAAGAAGTTTGCAGACTTAAGACAACTTTCTTCCACACTGAGGTGAGTCAATCAAGTTCTTCTCTATGTCCCTACTTCATCAGGATGTATTTTTGATCCATAAGAAGTAAAATCATTTGAAATATCGTTGGATCTAAAATGTTTAGTTTGTATGTCATAACAAAATGGCGGCAAGAAAATGTCAAACAGGAAAAATGTCAGAAGACACTAGAGGTTGACGCACAGTCAGCCACATTCTGAACATTTCTTTGACGTTTTAAGGAACTTTCTAGAATTTCTACTTCTTCTTAAGACGAGCATGAAGGAAGGAGATTTCATGGATTCAAATATGACAACATGACATGGTAGAAACATGACATGATAGAAACAATTACCACTGACATTATACACACTATCAGCTACAGGATCTAGGAGATAACTGAAATCCTACTATACTGAAATGTTTCTGAATTTTTCCCAAACTTAGTGGCCTGCTTACTGAGGTGTTCTCAGATATCTTATATAAACTGCTAATGGTATACTTTATGATTTGGTGAACTACATGTACATGTAGTGACAACCTTACAAAACTTTGTTTTATTTTTGCAGACACCATTCCTTGTCTTGGGCCACTGAAGAACCTGGGCCCTGCAGCTAAACTTCCTTCAAGGATTGGTCAGGAGTTCTTCCTTCAATCATTCTTAGGTTAGTTTAAATCCCAACTTCATGACCGTATTAGGCATCACCAAGTCTATTTCTTGTTTGTAGAATGTTGTTCATCCAGTTAAGCTTTATCTTTTTACCTGATGAAAACAAACTGAAATAGTTTGTGTTTTGGTTTGTGTCATCTGTTTCTAGTGTTTTCAGGTACTTTGATTGGCAGCAGCTAATTCTATATGCCCACCTTACACTATTTTACTTTTTACTATATTACTTTTGCAATGTTGGGACTGGCAATATTTCAAGACTTATTATTTAGAGCTCTACCATTTTTTTTGTATTTTTTAATCATGTCACGAAATGAGCCGGGGTCAATCTTCAGGATCTCTGTTTAATACTAGACTGCTGCTCTAATACAAGCCACCGGACCTCTCTCACTCCAGTCTAGACCCCGACTGATTCCCCCCAGCCCCTACGCTCTGCCTTATGGGCCTTCTGAACACTATCCTATGTATTCCATCACAATCAACGTTCTCATGTATCTCATATCTGTTGTAGATCAGACACACCAGTATGTCCAACAAAGTGAGGAGGATGCTGGTTCTTCTGCTGATCATCCTGAAGGAAGCTGGCCCGACCGCAGCCTGCAGCAGCAGCTGTTCATCAGACTGTTACTGCCACAAAAGAGGCCTCAGCAGTGTTCCTCAGGATCTGCCTACAAACATCACTAGGCTCAACTTACAGGACAATGCCATCACGACCTTAAGTCAGTCTGATTTTTCAAGGTACAGGAGCTTGACATTATTACATCTTGGTTCAAATCAGATCTCCATGATCCATAACAAAACATTCCAAGGCTTAACCAGCCTGACTCATCTGTACCTTAGTAACAATCATTTGACCAATCTGACAGCCGGCATGTTTGTGGGACTTGGTCACCCCCTGTATTTATGGCTTGACGGTAACCAGTTGACCAGTCTCCCAGCTGACATATTTGTGGGACATGGTAATGATATGCAGTTCTTGCAGCTTGACTATAACCAGTTAACAAGTCTGCCAGCTGACCTATTTGTGGGGCTTGGTAATCTGCGGATCTTGAGACTTTTTAATAACAAGTTAACAAGTCTGCCAGCTGACATATTTGTGGGGCTTGGTAACTTAGAGGAGCTTAACCTTTGCAGTAATAACATCCACAGTATTGAGGCAGGAACCTTCAATGACACAACACAGCTACGTATACTAGACCTTCAGTACAACAACATCAGCACCATCACAGCTGACACATTCAGGAACCTACTTCAGCTTCAAATTCTGAGACTTTCTGGTAATAACATCAACACTTTCCCTGTAGAGGCCTTCTCAAATTTACAGATTTCAGCACTGTCAGAGCTTACATTATATTCTAACCAATTAGAGACCCTACCAGTCATGGCATATGACATACTGGCTAATATTTCAACTGTCAACATTTCCAACAACCCCTGGCAGTGTGACTGTAGGATGGTTCCCTTTAGGCAGAGGATGAGCGGGTCTTACCCATTTGAAGACCAGATCAGATGTGCTGGACCGGCTAACCTTACAGGGCAATGCTTACTGGATGTAAATCCTGAAGACCTGATCTGTGAAAAGACAACACCAGTAAACTCCACTTCCAGCACTTCTTCTGTTGAGTCTGACTCTACTCTTAGTCTTAGCTTGTCTCCAGTCAGCAGCTCTACTCCTTTTCATCAGTCAGTATCACAGGCACCAACCTTGTCCTCAACACAGAGCACCACTCCCACTACTGAATATAACCCAGGCAGGTCTACAGTCAGTTCTTCTCCTATGTTTGATCCTTCAACAAAGTCCACATTAGAGAATCCAGCATCTTCTCCAACACCCCACACAGCACGCGTACGCACTGCTGACTCTAACCCAGGCTGGTCCATAGGTAGTTCTTCCCTTCCGTTTGATCCTTTAGCAAAGCCAACTTCAAAAGTACCAACGACATTGTCCCCAACACAGAGCACCACTTCTACTGCTGACTCTACCCCAGGCTGGTCTACAGTCAGTCCTTTGCCTCTGTTTAGTCCTTCAGCAAAGTCAACATCAACATTGCCCCAAACACCCAGAAACATCCCCACTGCTGACTCAAAGCCACACTTGTCTACAGTCAGTTCTGACTCTCCTTTTGGTTTTCAGTCAACCACGACAGAGAGCAACCCTGGTCCTTCTGCCGTTTCTGGTGGTGGCATTTTCCTGTCTGTTCCCTTGCTTGCTACACTGGGAGCTATTTTTGTACTCCTTGTTATCTTCACGATTGCCGTTGGAATATGGTGTGTGCATAAGAAGAGGCAAGGCTTTAATAACTCAAATCCAACAGGCACATCCAGTGGTCCTGACCAGATAAGGCAGCAAAGATTTACAACATTTAATGCAGACATGAACATTCAATCTGAAACACCACAGTCTGATACTGTAACAGTAGACAGCGAGCATATCTATAATGTCCCAATATATGAGGACCCTAATACATATCAGTCACAAAGTCCACACCGAGGTGCAGGCAACAGGCAGAGTCTGGACAGCTTTGGTCCTTTGGTCTTGCCCCCTTCCCTTCCCCCTAGGCCTGAAAATCAAACTGGCCCCCAGGCTGCTGCCCAAATTGAATCAGCAGATGCACCTGCTCATACAACCAGTGTCGTTGGTTTGTCACAAAGACCAGGCTCAGGGCAAATTCAGCATCTTGGCAGCTCTAACGATGGTTATAAGTTCCCATCTCCCTCCATGCGCCCTGGAGAAGCTACACCGTCCCACAAATATGTGAACAGCCATGTGGCAGCAGCTGCTAAAGATGCTGCAGCTGGTCCGCAGGTAATGGTTTATGAGAATGATGATGAGATAGAATCTGCAAACAAACGTCTAAAGTCCCACAAATATGTAAACAGCCATGTGGCAGAAGCTGCTGCAGCTGGTCCGCAGGTGATGGTTTATGAGAATGATGATGAAATAGAATCTGCAAACAAACGTAAAAAGTCCCACAAATATGTGAACAGCCACGTGAAAGCAGCTGCTAAAGATGCTGCAGCTGGTCCGCAGGTAATGGTTTATGAGAATGATGATGAAATAGAATCTGCAAACAAACGTCTAAAGTCCCACAAATATTTGAACAGCCATGTGGCAGAAGCTGCTAAAGATGCTGCATCTGGTCCACAGCTTATGGTTTATGAGAATGATGATAACCTAGAATCAGCAAACAAACGTCTTAAGTCCCACAAATATGTGAACAGCCATGTGGCAGCAGCTGCTGCAGCTAGTCCGCAGGTTATTGTATATGAGAATGACGATGAGTCAGTTAATAACCAATCACAGACAGCAGCTGCCCCTGGTGCTGACAGCCCTCACCACTATGAACCCCTGAGGAACCCCAGCAGTCAGCAGCGGAACACATACACATCCCTGATGCCTCATGGTTTAAAACACAATAAAAAAAATTAGACGATAGATTGGTTAGATGATTGATTGATAGATTAAAAAACAACTAGCAGTTGCTTTGAAGACTTACTCTCTAAATTCAATGGTTGGCCCTGATGCCTGGGTGCCATTTGTACACACCCGTGTACAAGCATTTCCATACTTGCTCAAGTAGATTAGCGCGTTATATATTTGCATTGGTGCTTTTTGATACTCATACTCATTAAGCAAATGTATGGTGCTTAGAAACATCATTTGAGCAGTAACTAGGACCTGAAACCTAAATATGGGTTCTACTCTACTCTATAGAACTGATAAACATTTTATCTTAAAAGGGATCCTTTTCTTGTAAATCAATAACTCTTATTATAAATATACATAATATATATATATATATATAATATTATATCAACAAGAGCAAAAGTACTGTTACAAACTGCGATCTGGAATTTATCAGTGATTTTTAAAGTAAACTTAACAATACATGTTAGGGTGACAGGACTAGTTTAATTACTGGGTAATATATATTTGATACACTATATACTTAAGATTGTATTCTACTTATCAAAGTTTTGATTTACATAGAATAATGTTATAGACTGTTAAGCTACCCATATCATTGTTACTGTAATGTCTTTTCTTGTCAGCATGGCAAGCCCTTTAAAATAACCAGAGGCTAGTTGGGTTTTGTTGAACAGCCAAACTACATGTAATGAATAACAAAATAGTTAATAAAGTTAAGTTACAATTTTACGGAGAAATTGTACAGATACAGTAACTGCAGATGCAGAATACAGTGGATGATGATGATGATGATGACACCACAAATGAAATTGATAGCTTCAATAGCTCATGAATGAGCAAATTTCATATTTACATATTATTAATATATTATATATATATACAAACATACAATACAAAATAAGTTACATATACGATATTACATACAACTGTATGAAAAAGTATTTAGGTGAGTTGTAGGGACTAGTAGAGAGAGAGAAGACACTGGAAGATGGTAGAACTGACAGTAGGCCTGGGACTTCAAATGTACCTTAGATTAGGAAGGGAATAAAATGGAGGTGTTCAACTCCAGTCTTTGTCTGTGGTGTTCATGACTTCAAATATCAGAGTTAGAATTGAGGTGTTCATTAAGCGCCACTCAGTAACAGTGTAAGGTACTGCAGGCACTCGCCTGTCTGATCAAAATCGCCCTGCACCTGACAAGGCCTGTAGTGCCGCCCAGTGAAAATGTCAGGTACTGCATCCACATATGCATTCAGTTTCTTGATCATTCAAATTTCTAACTTGAGGTTGTCACTCCAATGGGCAACAAGACATCTAGTAAAAGAATTCTGTCCCAGACAACCCTCTTAATTTCTGGAAAAAAAGTTCTTTCAGCAAAGCAAGGAGAATAGCTACTAGTATTTGCCGGTAGCCAAAAAAATATAGACAGTGCAGTTTTGTAGGCTGAAAAGATATCAGGATCCGTATATGAATTACATGTTAGCTGAAAAATACATTGTATTTTGAGCGTTATGTTCACAAAGCTGGCACATCGCCTGTGGGCATTTATGGCACAATAGGCACTGTGCCTGTCCAACTCAACATCCTTAGTTAACCTCAGGTAGTCCAACCACCTCAGTGCTCAGTTGAAGGACACACTGAAAGACACAGTTAAGATGGACTCAGAGACTTTAAGGAGTTTGCAGACCTAAGACAACTTCCTTCCATACTGAGGTGAGTCAATCAACTACTTCTCTTGCCCTACTTCATCAGGATGTATTTTGGGGCCATAAGAAGTAAAATCATTGGATAGATTGTCAGATCTAAAATGTTAAAAATGTGCATAAAAATCAGAATCATGGTATGATTAATATGGATTAAATGTCAGATGAATAGCAGTGTAGAAAAAGTATGTTGAGCCCTGACAGCAGTTTAGAGTGTATCAAGAACTATTCATTATGTTCCCACGGTCGGCACATCTAACTACCACAGGTATCACCTGTGGACATGTACATGTATGACACAATAGGCACTGTGTCTGTCCAACTCAACGTACTTAATTCACCTCAGGGAGTCTTACCACCTCGGTGCTCAAAGTTGAAAGACACAGTTAAGACGGACTCCGAGGCTTTTAAAAGTTTGCAGGCTTAAGACAACTTCCTTCCATACTGAGGTGAGTCAATCTACTTCTTCTCTTTGCCCCTATTTCAGCAGGATGTACTTTTGGGCCATAAGAAGTAAAATCATTGGAAAAATTGTCGGATCTAAAATGTTTAGTTCATGCGTCATAACAAAATGGCGATGAGGAAATGTCACACAGGGAAAATGTCTGAAGACAGTGTCTAGGTTGACACACAGTCAGACACCTTCTAGAATTATCTTTTCCTTTTAACTTAAACAAGGAACTTTCTGTCTAAGATTTCTTAACTTCTTCATGACACTCAACAAGCTGAAAGAAATTTGAACATAATCTTAGATATACTTGTGTCAACATAACAAGGAGGAAACAATTACCACATTATTGCTACAGGAGTGAATTATGAGATACTGAAATATCACTGAAATGTTTCTTAATTTTCCAAACACTGCAGCCTGTTTTCTGACAGATATCTTAAACATAAACCACAAACAGACTAATATGATTCTTTGATTGAACTACTGCCGGCCAGAGTTAAAAAAAAAAAAAGAGCTACTGGCCACTTCATTTAAGATGAACCAGTGAAAATTACCGTATTGATCCTATTGGGATGGTGAATTTTTCCAAACTTGTTGAATTTTTGAGGCTAGCTTCCCTCAGTAAAGCAAAAGTTATTCCCAGAATAACTTTGGTTTCTGATGTCAGAGTGCAGGGCTCAAAATACCCACCTAAAACCTGCAGTTATCAGGGAAAAATATAGAATTGCAAGAAAAAAATATGGGCTAGTTGAAGTTTTGCAAGCTGACAAAATTCCAAGTTAACTCATGTATTTATTATGAATAACATGTTAGCTGAATAGCACAGTAGAAAAAGTCTGTTGATCTCTGATAGCAGTTTAGAGTGTATCAGGAACAACTCATTATGTTCACACGGCTGGCAGAGTTAACTACAGGTATCACCTGTGAACATGTAGGACACAATAGGCACTGTGTCTGTCCAACTCAATGTCCTTAATTCACCTCAGGTAGTCCAACCACCTCGCTCAGTTGAAGGACACACTGAAAGACACAGTTAAGATAGACTCCCTGCGATTTTAAGGAGTTGGCAGACCTAAGACAACTTTCTTCCATACTGAGGTGAGTCAATCAACTTCTTCTCTCTGTTCCTACAAGGTCTCACCAAGTTTATTTCTCGGACGGAGGACATTTTTACATTAAACTCTTAGACTAAGGCCAGTGATACCAAGTCTTTATAGATGATGTTCGCGCACGCATTGATTTTGGCCTGTTCCCAGAAAAAAACAAGAAATTCCGCTTCCTGTAACTAAGACCAAAGAGTCATGACCGCAAACCGTAAGATTAAATGTAAAACCCATAAAGCGAAATGTGGAAAGGGAATGGTTATTGACAATATCATCCTGTCAATAACAAAAACTTTGCAATATGAGAATTTTTAATTTCTTTAGGTTGTCATGCAACAAATCCTGATTATGTCTCCTCCCATTGACCTAATGAATTATTTTATTATGTTATTTAAATAGCAGTGTAGAAAAGGCATTTTCATCCCCAATAGCAGTTTAGAGTGCATCAGGAACAACTCATTATGTTCACATGGCTGACAGAGTTAACTACCACAGGTATCACCTGTGGGCATGTAGGACACAATAGGCACTGTGTCTGACAACCTCAACGTCCTTACTTAACCTCAGTAGCAGTTGAGTTATAGAAGAAGTGGTAATTTTAATAGTTTGTTGGGGGAGCTGAAGGGGCTTTGACTCCTTTGTTGAACACCTTTAATAAAATAAAGGATTCATGTATTTGGGTGGTTTTTAGCATAAAAGAGTCATTGCACGAGAAAACCAGGCAAAACCAAGCAGAGGTTGGGAGATGGGGGTCAAATGGGCTCATATTCAGTATGTATAATAGCTTATAATGTGGAACTATGAACAACCATATGATTAAAAACCCCCAGGTATTTTCATTATGGAGTTCTGAGACACCCTTGGAAACCCGCGAAAATCAAACATTTTTTAATATGGCTGAAAATCACTCAAAAGTCAAATTGCAATGGCTACCCTGATAATACTGATAAGGATATTGAGTCAGACATAACTTCTGAATTTCCATATAGCAAGGGTACCCTAGTTTTACCAGACAAAAGTTGAAGATGAGATATGAACCTGCATTTCTCCTGCGGTCTCTTACTAGTCTCAGTGTCACTAATGAAAGGCAGTGAATGCTACCTGAAACGTCTGACCGTTTCCAAAATCATATCCAGTTGCCTGAGTAACTGTTTTTTACCTGGATGTTTAACGTTCACCGACATAAATAATTAATTTTGCACCTAAAATTTTTGACGATGTGCAATTTTGCACATACCCTCCCCCCCCCAAAAAAAATTGGGAGCCCTGTATTGAGACGTTGAACTTTTCCAAACTTGTTGAATCCTGCCAACACTTATGAACTTTGATGCTAATGCATTTCATCTCTGTTATACAGGTGACACTTCAGCATGTCCAACAAAGCCAGGAGGATGCTGGTTCTTCTGCTGATCATCCTGAAGGAAGCTGGCCTGACCGCAGCCTGCAGCAGCAGCTGTTCATCAAACTGTTACTGCGCCAGCAGAGGCCTCAGCAGTGTTCCTCAGGACCTGCCTACAAACATCACTAGGCTTAGCTTGGGGCGCAATGCCCTTACAACCTTAAGTCAGTCTGATTTCTCACAGTACAGAAGCTTGACAAGATTACAACTCCGTTACAATCAGATCTCCATGATCCATAACAAAACATTCTACAACTTAACCAGCCTGACTGAACTGTACCTTTATGACAATCATTTAACCACTTTACCAGCTGGCATATTTGAGGGACTTGGTAATCTGCAGATCTTGTATCTTGACAATAACCAGTTAACAAGTCTGTCAGCTGGCATATTTGTGGGACTTGGAAATCTGCAGCACTTGTATCTTGACAATAACCAGTTAACAAGTCTGCCAGCTGGCATATTTGAGGGACTTGGTAATCTGCAGATCTTGTATCTTGACAATAACCAGTTAACAAGTCTGCCAGCCGACATATTTGAGGGACTTGGAAATCTGCAGATCTTGTTTCTTCACACTAACCAGTTAACAAGTCTGCCAGCTGACATATTTGAGGGACTTGGTAATCTGGGGTACTTGTATCTTTACAATAACCAGTTAACAAGTCTGTCAGCTGACATATTTGAGGGAATTGGTTATCTGAGGTTCTTGTATCTTAACAATAACCAGTTAACAAGTCTGACAGCTCACATATTTGAGGGACTTGGTAATCTGCAGTGGTTGTGGCTTCACGATAACCAGTTAACAAGTCTGTCAGCTGACATATTTGAGGGACTTGGAAATCTGCAGTACTTGTTTCTTAACAATAACCAGTTAACAAGTCTGCCAGCTGGCATATTTGAGGGACTTGGTAACTTACAGAGGCTTGACCTTGACAGTAATAACATCCACAGTATCGAGGAAGACACATTCAATGACATAACAAAGCTAAATCATCTATACCTTCAGAACAACAACATCAGCACGATCACATCTGACACATTTGGGAATCTACTTCAGCTTCAAACACTGGAACTTTCTCATAATAACATCAGCAATTTCCCTGTAGAGGCCTTATCAAATTTACAGATTCCACCACTGTCAGAGCTTACATTAGATAATAACCGACTAGAGACACTACCACCCCTGGCATATGACATACTGGCTAACATTTCAACTGTGTACATTAACAACAACCCCTGGCAGTGTGACTGTAGGATGGCTCCCTTTAAGCAGAGGATGAACGGGTCTTACCCATTTGAAAACCAGATCAGATGTGCCAGACCTGCAAACCTTCAAGGGCAATACTTACAGGATGTAAATCCTGAAGACCTGATCTGTGAAGAGGCAACACCAGTCTACCCCATTTCCAGCACAAAACACATTCAATTTGTTGACTCTACTGACCCTCCTTTGGCTTCGACAGTGACAGTGACAGTCACAAAAACCAATTTTACTGGCCCTGCAGATGGTGGCATTGTCCTGTCTGTGCCCCTTCTTGCTACACTGTGTATTTTTGTTGGACTATTCATTATATGCACTATTGGCTTTGCAGTATGGTGCATGTATAAGAGAAGGCAAAGGGATCCTACTCCTCTGCAAGGCTTTAGCAACACAAACCCCAGAGGCACAAACAGTGGTCTTGACCAGATAAGTCTGAATGAAGTTACAACAAATGCAGATTCTGAAATAAGCCGTCGATCTGAAACACCACATCTCAGTAGAGAAGACAGCCAGCATATCTATAACCTCCCAACAGATGAGGACCCTGACACAGCCGAGTACAACACCATAGACGATATTGATCAGTCAGAAAGTCCACACCAAGGTGAAGGTAAGAGGCTGAGTCTTGACAGCTTTGGTTATTTGGTTTTGCCCCCTTCTCTTCCCCCTAGGCCTGAAAATCAAACTGACCCCCAGGCCGCTGCCCAGATTGAATCAGTAGATGCAGCTGCTTGTACAACCAGTGTTGCTGGTCCATCACAAAGATCTGACTCAGGGCAAATTCAGCATCTCGGCAGCTTTAGCGATGGTTATGAGGTTCCATCTCCCTCCCTGTACACTGGAAAAGGTCCACAGTCCCACAAGTATGTGAACAGCAAGATGACAGCAGCTGCCAAAGATGCTGCAGCTGGTCCGAAGGTTATTATGTATGAGAATGATGATGAGATAGAATCTGCAAAGGAATGCTCACAGTCCCACAAGTATGTGAACAGCCATGTGGCAGCAGCTGCTAAAGATGCTGCAGCTGGTCCACAGGATGTGGTGTATGACAATGAGAATGATGATGAGATAGAATCTGCAAAGGAAGATCCACAGTCCCACAAATATGTGAACAGCCATGTGGCAGCAGCTGCTAAGGATGCAAATGCTACAGCTGGTCTGCAGCATATGGTATATGACAATGATGATGAGGTAGAACATGCAAAGGGAACTAAGTAACGAGTCTGTCGGCAAGTCATGTTCATTCTTATAGGCGGTAGTAGGTGGCGATATTGCTCAGACACTAGGAGTGATTTGGCAAACTTTTTGGCTGAGATGTGAGCATGCTTCAGAGTACGTAGCAGCCTAGCAGATGTAGTCATGATATGGACCGCCCTACGCTAGATTCTCTCAGTCTCATCGTTCAGTGGTGTTGTTAATCCAGGGTGCCAGACAGGGGCTGCGTACTCAGTAATGCATCTTATGAAAGATAATTAATGTACATAGTGACAGGGTCATTCTTAGCATGTAATGTGGAAGTGCTTCAGTCTACGTAGGAGAAATTGGAGAAATAGCCGCTCTGGAGCTGGTTAGCTTTGTGGTAGAGGTATTTGAGATGGGTGCCATTCTCATGACGTCCACTTGTTCCAGGACAATGTCATTGATCTTGACTATGAACCCCTGAGGAACCCCAGCAGTCAGCAGCAGCACACATACACATCCCTGATGCCTCATGGTTCACAATAACAATGCCATTAGAAAACTTAGCGCTTTTTTACCATCCAAAACCCATCACCTTAGCATGTCCAGATCAGATCAGGAGAGATCAAAACCAGAAGTTCTGATGACGAGCCAAAATCTAATCATTTCGAGGTCTCATTAAGACCTACCAACTAACAAAGCAGCACAGGCGAAACACATATCTATGGAAAATTTGGTGATAATCAAATAGAATCATGGACTGTACAGCTAGTTATATCATATCACAGCTAATTAAGATAAAAGAAAAAAATTCTTGGGCTCAAGGAAATGTGTTACAAGGATCCAAACCAGTAGTACCTAACTGTTGTAACTTGTATGGAGGATTTTGTGGAATCCCAATAAACATTATATATCTATAGTACTTATGTTGATAGAAACTTCATTGTAGCAAAAACAATTTATAGCAAGGAGCTTATAGTAAGTGACATTTTACTTCAAAATAAACCTTTTGTTGTAAATCAAATATATCTCATTACATATGTACATGTATATAAACAAAGTGTGGTGTTGAAGGAAAAAATATCCCGTGATTTCTAGCTATTAACTTAAAAATTACCATATGTTACTATTGTTAGGGTGACAGGACTGGTTTAATTACTGAGTACACTTTTTAATACGTTGTACAGTTACAAGATATACTTTTCTGCAATTGAATCTTAGTTACAATTTGACTGTAAAATTGAAACCTTTAACAGCTTTTGAATTAGCAAGGTAATTTACATACTTACCATCCTTACTTCATATATTAATATAAGATCATAGCCGACTGCTGTCCACCCCTGAGACAGGGAAGCTGGCAGCAGTACAATGAAAGCCTGGGTATGTATAGTAATACATACGACTGTATGGAAAACTAGAAGTAGGTAAGTTGTAGGGACTAGCAGAGAGAGACAAGAGAGAGAAGGGGGTAGAACTGACAGTAGGCAGGGACTTCAAATGTACCTTAGATTAGGAAGGGAATAAAATGGAGGTGTTCAACTCCAGTCTTTGCGTGTGGTGTTCATGAAAACTTCGTTCGGTAGTTCGGTAGGTAGGTAGTTCGGTAGTTCGGTAGGTAGTTCGGTAGTTCGTTCGGTCGTTCGGTCGTTCGGTAGGTAGGTAGGTAGGTAGGTAGGTAGGTAGGTAGGGGAGAGAGAGGGGGAGAGAGAGAGGGGGGAGAGAGAGAGAGAGGTGTTCCTACCTGTCTGATGATGAAGAAGATGACAGTCGTGGCAGCACACAGGAGAGAAATCAGCAGAGTGAACAGCATCAGGAACTTGAACCGGTAGATCAGACCCTGAAAAACAACACAATACACCGTACTGTAAAACACATGTGACTGTAAAACACATTTTGTACTTTACTTTGACAAACTACGTTATCTACTTCCCAGAGACAAGGAAAGAGGACTAGACTGTTCGCAAAACACAGTTTTACACTTTTTTCTAGAGCTGTCCATAAAAATACACAGCTTTTGAAATTATGAAATCTTTTCTGAAGTGCACTCAAGAGGATATTTGACTGAAGCTAGGTACTTATTTAGACCTCCTAAGTCGAGTGAGGAAGTACATTGTAGGTGTAAAGTGCCTTTCCCAAGTGCACAACATTAGGACCTGCTATCATGGCTATTAGTGCTTTGGAATCGAACACAGAACCTTTAGGTTCTAAATCAAACACCCTAACCACAACACCACCCTCTGCATCAGATATATGTATCGTTCACCTATACCAAGTGCACATTAGGGACTGCTACTAGTGCTCAAAGGAATCGAACCCAGAACCTTTAGGTTCTAACCTTGAACTCCTGACCATGAAGCACAGGAAGAAGAAGTAGACGCTGGCACAGACGCCCGCCAGGATGATGAAGGCCAAGACCAAGTTCTTCCCCGTCTCCATCACCCAGATGCTGTAGAACGGGTTCGTCAGCTGCACACCCCTGTGAACAGAATGGTACAGCCGTCAGATGCATCTTTCATAGTGTGGTATTGGGTGAGACCACTGAAGTTTAGGGGTACTGTGCAGTATCTCCCTCTGAGTTGGTAAGGCTTCATTCACTTTTTTGTCATGCGTGCACCTAAATGATTTAGAACAATTGGTCAAATGCACAGCCCTGTTAACAGAATGGAACAGCCGTCATACGCATCTTTCATAGTGTTATTGGGTGAGACCACTGAAGTTTGGGAGTGTGTGAAGTGAAGTCCATTTTAATGTGTTTCATGATGTTATAGACTTTATACAGCTTATAATTAGTGTAGTCCAGGAATGTTGGTTTCTGTGTATGTTTTTCCTTGTCCATTTTGTCCTGTATCATGCCATTTTTCTAGTACAACTGTAGAAATTAACTTTGAAATTTACCTGTGTTTGAGCCTTGTTTTTTTGATGGAGATGCAATATTCAAATCAGCCTGACGGCGATTTTTATTAAGGTTATGAGGAAAGAGGTTAGGGTCATATATGGTGACAGGAAAAAGGTTAAGCTGGTGTGTTACGCCTAAGGGCAGTTATACCGGCTATACAGATACAGAAGCTGGAGTGTTACGCCGAAGAGCGGTTATACCGGCTATACAGATACAGATGATGGAAGTCCTACCAAGATATAAACATGAAGTTGTACAAAGTAATAATAACGGTATTACCTTCAAAAGACATCCAGGAAAATTGAGAAAATAAGACAAAAAAAACACAAAAAAGTTACCTAAACAATCTTTATTGGCCAACTCTAACACATAACAATTCTTTCGAAAAATACAGTCCTCCTATATTGCAAGGCAGTCATAGTTCTCTCACACACGCAGCGTGGCATTGCAAAAACCGCTATGCGGAAATGACCAGCATACAAACCACCCAACTAGTCCCCTTGTCTAATAGCCTGGGTGCCATCCTCCGTAGTATTTGCCCGCTCCCTAATGTCGCTAGCTACCAGTGTCTGGACTTGCTGACATATGTAACGTCTGGTGATGACGTCATGCAATGAGCTAGCCCGAGCGGCGCGATAGAATAATAAGAAGAATAAGATCTATCTTAACGCTGCTGTTTGAATGTCCGAACGGTTTACCTAATATGTACACACCTTTCCTACAAGAGCACCCCCCAAAAAGGGCTTAGACAAGTAGGACCAATCAGAAATCTGAACGAATATGCAAATTCCAGACGCTACATATGTCAGCAAGTCCAGACCGCGTGGTAGCCAGCAACTTTAGGGAGCGGGTGAAAACTACAGAGGATGGCACCGAGGCCACATCTCTAATACATTAGCAGTACAGTTACTAAAACATTCTTTCATCAGTGACAAAGTTGGAAGGATAAGGATACTGACCTCCAAATTTTCGATGGCTATCAGTCCATCTTGTTCGGGCCTAGTCTCACGCTCTCGCGAGATTAGGCCATTCCGTGAACAAGATGGACTGATAGCCATTGAAAATTCGGAGGTCAGTATCCTTTTCCTTCCAAAATTGTCACTGATGAAAGAATCTTCTAGTACCTGTATCTATACGTGACAAATGAATCTCTTCAACGATATTAGCAGTACAATTATCATATAACATGGTACAAAAACTGCCGGCAAGCCAGGGCGAAACAAAATATATTTAACCTCCTGAGGTTCGACCCTGGCTTTAGCGAGAATAACGAGAATAAATCACAAAGTATGGTAGGACTCTTACGAGGTAAAAAGTTCCGCCCTAAAGGCGAGAAGAGCGCGACAAACAATTCTCCTGCTCCTGCAAATTGAGAGCTAATAATTATGTATCAAATGCTGCGAACACTGGATCGGCTGCTGAAATTCTGTCGCTAACACTCGTCAACTGACAAGCTGATGCCACAAACACTGCTGAAATTCAGCTGCAATTAATATTTCTCAACTCAAGAGCCTGTCTATAGCAACCGCTGATGCTGCAATAATGTAAAATGGACAATTCTGAATGCCTACAGAAGTAGTAATTGTTCAAATATTCTGGGTTAATACCGGTACCTCAAATACATGTATGTAGAAGAACCAAACTTGGCTATACCCTTCCATACCTTAGTCCTCTGGATGCCCTGTTAGTCGTACATGGCAGAAAACTCCTAAAAATAGACGTACAAAATTACTTTCCCGTCGTTAAGTCTGCGCTACAGAATGCTCAACATCCAAAAATCGTTCGGTTAAATCTCAAATCTTTCTGTTACAATTGTGTACAACAACTCTCGGCTACAAGTTCAAGTCCAAGGCACATTCAGTTTGTAAAAATATCTCCTTAGTCTGACAATCTCTACTAACAACAATTTCCCATCTAGAAGTTGAACTCTTTTTTTTTGCAGCCCTGCCTTCTCACGACTTCTGAATTATATTTTATCTGTTCTACTTTAGCTGCTACGTCTTTGGTCGATGCATTTTCTATAATCTCCGAGCAGATCTTCGGGTGGCAAAAAAGACAGTATCAAATTGGCCAGGCAGTATACTGTCTTTTGCCACCCTAGGATCTTCTTGGAGATACTACAAACCACAGGATTACAACATTA